GCCCACGAAAGTGGCGACGGTTGCGCAGATCGCCGGCCCCCCAGGGGGCTGCGAGGTCGCGAGGTAGTCCGCGTATGACGTACCTCGGCTGGGCCTCCCAGGAACCCACGAAAGTGGCGACAATTGCGCAGATCGCAAGCCCCCCAAGGGGCGGCGAGGTCCCGAGGTGGTCCGCGTATGACGTACCTCCGCTGAGCCTCCCAGGAGCCCACGAAAGTGGCGACGGTTGCGCAGATCGCAAGCCCCCTAGGGGGCAATTGCGCAGATCGCACGCCCCCTGGGGGGGCGGCAAGGTCCCGAGGTGGTCCGCGTACGACGTACCTCCGCTGGGCCTCCAACGAGCCCACGAAAGTGGCGACGGTTACGCAGATCGCAAGCCCCCCAAAGGGCGGCGAGGTCCCGAGGTGGTCCGCGTATGACGTACCTCCGCTGGGCCTCCCAGGAGCCCACGAAAGTGGCGACGGTTGCGCAGATCGCAAGCCCCCCAAAGGGCGGCGAGGTCCCGAGGTGGTCCGCGTATGACGCACCTCCGCTGGGCCTCCCAGGAGCCCACGAAAGTGGCGACAATTGCACAGATCGCAAGCCCCCCAGGGCGCGGCGAGGTCCCGAGGTGGCCCGCGTATGACGTACATCCGCTGGGCCTCCCAGGAGCCCACGCAAGTGGCGACAATTGCGCAGATCGCAAGCCCCCCAGGGGGCGGCGAGGTCCCGCGGTGGTCCGCGTATGGCGTACCTCCGCTGGGCCTACCAGGAGCCCACGAACGTGGCGACAGTTGCGCAGATCGCAAGCCCCCCAAGGGGCGGCGAGGTCCCGAAGTGGTCCGCGTATGACGTACCTCCGCTGGGCCTCCCAGGAACCCACGCAAGTGGCGACAATTGCGCAGATCGTAAGCCCCCCAAAGGGCGGCGAGGTCCCGAAATGGTCCGCGTATGACGTGCCTCCGCTGGGCCTCCCAGGAGCCCACGCAAATGGCGACAATTGCGCAGATCGTAAGCCCCCCAAAGGGCTGCGAGGTCCCGAGGTGGTCCGCGTATGACGCACCTCCGCTGGGCCTCCCAGGAGCCCACGCAAGTGGCGACAATTGCGCAGATCGCAAGCCCCCCGGGGGGCGGCGAGCTCCCGAGGTGGTCCGCGTATGACGCACCTCCGCTGGGCCTCCCAGGGGCCCACGAAAGTGGCGACAATTGCGCAGATCGCAAGCCCCCCAGGGGGCGGCGAGGTCCCGCGGTGGTCCGCGTATGACGCACCTCCGCTGGGCCTCCCAGGGCCCCACGAAAATGGCGACGATTGCGCAGATCGCAAGCCCCCCAGGGGGCGGCGAGGTCGCGAGGTGGTCCCTAGGGGGCAATTGCGCAGATCGCAAGCCCCCCAGGGGGCGGCAAAATGCTGAGGTGGTCCGCGTATGACGTATCTCTGCTGGGCCTCCCGGGAGCCCACGAAAGTGGAGACAGTTGCGCAGATCGCAGCCCCCAGGGGGCGGCGAGGTCCCGAGGTGGTCCGCGTATGACGCACCTCCGCTGGGCCCCCCAGGAGCCCACGCAAGTGGCGACAACTGCGCAGATCGCAGCCCGACGGCACGAGAGAAGAGGGGAACACAAGAAATATCAGAGAACGAGGAGGGGAGGAGAGGGGAAGAAGAGGAAAAACGTGGCTACCATACTGTTCTATTCAAAACGGGAACCCGACACAAGAAAATTGGGGAATCAAAAAACTGATGTTGCGAAGCCGTGTGTTTTTGTGTTGTTTGGTGCTCGGTTTTGAAATCGCTGCGACGCCGATGGTTTTTGAAGGATTTCGGTATGCGCGCGCGACGACGCGCGCGCGTGCACTTCGTCCCGTCTGTTGCAAAGGATTACCGCGACGGCGCGCGCGCAAGCGCGTTCGAAGGATTTCGACATGTGCGCGCGCGAAGCCCGTTTGGTAGTATGTTCGGAAACCGCTGAAACATCTTGGGTGTTCTTAAGAATTCGCAAGGGCGCTTGCTATTACCAGTATTATTATTATTCTTATCATTACTACTACTACTACTACTACTACTACTACTACTACTACTACTACTACTACTACTACTACTACTACTACTACTACTACTACTACTACTCTACTACGACTACTACTACACTACTACTACTACTACTACTACTACTACTACTACTACTACTACTACTACTACTACTACTACTACTACTACTAACTACTACTACTACTACTACTACTACTACTACCACTACTACTACTACTACTACTACTACTACTACTACTACTACTACTACTACTACTACTACTACTACTACTACTACTATTACTACTACTACTACTACTACTACTACTACTACTACTACTACTACTACTACTACTACTACTACTACTACTACTACTACTACTAATGTTGCTATTAGTACCACTATTATTATTATTGTTATTAGTATTGTTGTTGTTATTATTAGTATTAGCATTGCCATTACTATTACTGATAATTTTATTGTTATTGTAATTGTGGTTGCTGATTTTGTTCGTATCATTATGACTATTCGTATTACTACTATTATTAGTGGTTGGGGAAAATCCGTGTTGCGAAACCATGGTTTAAATGTTGTTGGACACTCGGTTATGAAATTCTTCCGACACCGAAAATTGTTGCAGGATTTCGGCATGCGCGCGCGACGACGCGCGCGTGCGCACATCGTCCCATGCTTTGCAAGGGATATTGGACAACTGATGATTTTCGGTAAACGAGCGCGCACAATATTTGTTCCAAAGGATGGCGGGGGGGTCGATGCTGGCCTGGCTGGGATGGTATGAATTCATATTTCGCATGGGCGATCTGGGAAAATCGCATGAAAATTGCCATGCGACAAGGTGGACCGATAAAGCCGAGGGGGGGGATCCTAATTCTTGTTTAGAATGGAGAGCTGTTTTTAACAGACGAGTTGACGCATCCCACGCTCTTGCAAACATCCCACCCACCCACCCGCAATTTAGATTGCAAAAACCATGCGGGGGCGATTGCGATGAGTGCTTGGCGTTGGCTGGTCCATCTCTGCGGCCGCGCCAACCCAACTGCGCGCGCAGCGGCCAGCTAGTTTGGCGCGGCCGACGCGGCCGCGGTGGCGCTGACCGCTGGGCACATCCCAGCGGGCACTTCACTGCGAGTCGGCGACATGGGCGGGCGCTGTATCATGGCAGCCTCGACAACGGTAGACACGATGATGGTAATTAGTAGCGATGCTGGTGACGATGTTGACAACGACGACGGCGCGGCCAGTGCGGGCGCCAATGCTGATCACGCCGTCGACGATGACGGCGTCCTCGTGTCGGTGACGAAGGTCTTGGACAGAGTTCGACATGCGCGCGCTGCCGGCGCAGGAATGGCCCGCATGGTTTTATTTGACACGGATCGTACCCCCCGGTACGCGCGCAAGGGCGCGCGAATGATGTCGGCATGCTGCGCCAGAGGCCCGTTTGGCAGAAGTCCATGGAGATGTTGAAAAACCTATGGTTTTCTCAAGGATTCGCTTGAGCGCGAGCGCACGTTTTTTTGTTTGTTGTTGTTGTTTATTCGTCTTCCCTTATTTGTAATCTGATGTTGCGAAGTCATTCGTTGTTGTATGTGCTTTAAGCAGTCGGTTTTGAAATCGCTACGAAACCGACGGTTTTTTCAGGATTTCGGCATGCGCGCGCGATGACGCGCGCGCGTGCACTTCGTCCCGTTTTCTGCAAATGATTCTCGCGACGGCACGCGAGCAAAGGCGTTCGAACGATTTCGACATGCGCGCGCGAAGCCCGTTTCGGAGAATATTGAAAAACCTATAGCTTTCTTAAGAATTCGCAAGACCTCGCACGCTTTTTTTGAACATCCGTGTTCCGATGTGTTTTTATGTGTCAGTTTGATCTTCGATTTTGAAATCCTTACGAAGCCGCAAGTTCTTGAAAGACTTCGGCATGCGCGCGACGACGCGCGCGTGCGCATTTCGTCTCATGTTTTGCATGGGGCTCATGGAAACTACTGATGTTTGATAATCCAGTGCGCGCGCATCGTTTTTTTGCAGAGGATGACGGGGGGGGGTCGATAACGGTTGGACTGTGATGGCATGGACATGCATGGACTCATATTTAGGATGGACGATGGGGCAGAATCAACTGTAAACTGCAGTACGAAAAGGGGTACCGATAATCCCAGGGGGGGGTAGAGTCTATTTTCTTTTAGAAAGGAGAGCCTATGCGACGGCGACGGCGGCGACGGGCGGCACCGCCCGCAAAAGCCGCCACTCGCCCCGAGCGGCGGCCGCGGCGACGGCGGCGACGGGCGGCACCGCCCGCAAAAGCCGCCACTGGCGACGGCGACGGCGACGGCGACGGCGGCGACGGGCGACACCGCCCGCAAAAGCCGCCATTCACCCCGAGGTGGTTAAGACAAGGAAGATCCCCTAAGTGCAAGCACTGTTTGGGGAACAGGGTGAAACCGAACTAAGAATCTTGCGGGGGCTGACACGAAGCGGCCACTTCCTTATCCAAAGCCGGGGGCGAATTGACATTCAAGGGAAGAAGAACTAAGGATTTGAAGCTTCAGAACACTCGAGTCAAGATCGGACTAGGGACTCGCGAGGCTGCAGTGTCTGAAGCCCATCAAGCACTCTGCCCCTGCACACGAACGCGCATTGACGCAAGCGTGCTCAGCCGTGGCGGGTTACAGACTGGATATCGAAGACCCGTGTGCTGTGATGGAAGAAGCATTACGGTATGCACTGGAGCCTGTCGAATACAATCCGAATGCAGGCGTTAGTACTTGACGCCTGTCGAGGGCAAGCACATCAACCAAATTGCGTCGTGCTGCATCTTCCGCCAGGGCGCGTCGTGCCATAATGCACGGACGCCCCCCCCCCACCCCATCTGGACAACATGATGGTCTGCCAGACGTAACCCCTACCTGAGACAGTGCAAGGATTGGAGAACATGCCCTGAGAGTTCACAAAACGAGGATGCATTCTGAGCGGCGCGCCAAACCCCGAGGCTGACGAAGGCTGAGACGTCAGGCGGTGCACGCCCACAGTGGCTCGCACGGAAGTCCTTGCGGGACCACTCCTCCTGCTGACCCTCCCTGCCCCCACAACTCTACTGAACTCGTCAAGTTTTTCAGCAGGGTCCGCATGTCGCAGCAGGCGACTGCCAGACGAATGATGTCACGCAAAATCCAAAGCGCAAGAGCCCACGTGGGACTCCAGGGGCGAGGGCAGCTGCGTGACACGCGGAGCTGGGGGACAGGGTGGACAAAACACTTCCAGCGACGAGCGCGACACTTCATGCCGGGAGTCAACTAAGAAGCAGTGCAAGCCAGGAGACGCAACAAGTTTGAACGCCAACACCATGCAAATGCGCCGAATTAGCCGGTATGACAATCCCCTCAGTCCCGTTCTGAACCACGAGACGCGAAGCAGAGCCCAAGACAATAGCTCCTATGTCACCTGACTTCGCGCATCGTGCCGCTCGAAGCTCGAAGCATAAATGCGTAGCACCCCGCAGTTGCGGATAAGAGTGAGGGGGTGGCGGGGACGTCGGCAGTCTGCGAGGCTTGAAGAAGCCCGCAGAAGGCGCCTTATTCTTAGAAGCTATACAACGAGCTCGCCGCAGGCGCCGATTTTTCTGTCAAAGCAATGTGGGTGGGTCGCGGGGTGGGTCGCGGGCCGGGTCGCGGGTGGGTCGCGGTTGGGTCGCGGGTGGGTCGCGGGCGGGGTCACGGGTGGGTCGCGGGTGAGACGCGGGTGGGTCGCGGGTGGGTCGCGGGTGGGTCGCGGGCCGGATCGCGGGTGGGTCGCGGGTGGGTCGTAGGCCGGGTCGCGGGTGGGTCGCGGGTTGGGTCGCGGGTGGGTCGCGAGTGGGTCGCGGGCTGGGTCGCGGGTGGGTCGCAGGTGGGTCGCGAGTGGGTCGCGGGTGAGACGCGGGTGGGTCGCAAGTGGGTCGCGAGTGGGTCGCGGGCCGGGTTGCGGGGGGGACGACGACAACAAACAAGCAAACAAACAAACGATCGAACGGACAAACAGACAAACAACAACAATCATTTTAAGACTGTTCGCTCCGATCTGCTCGCGTGCCATTCAACACGTCTATCCTAAACCCTCGATGCCCGCCTCTTCGTCGTCGATCGTGCCCCCTTGGGGGTATATTTTCTGAACTGCAACGTGTATTTCGTGCAGCCCCTCAGGCAGCGGAAGAGAGGACGGATGGAAGGAAGGGACAAGGCGGAGGGAGGATGATACAGCAGGAGGCGGACTAGAAGCAGAAAGCACGTGGCAGAACCAGACGGACAGATAGGGTGGATAGACCCTAACAGGCGGGTCGGGAAGGCGGGCCCAAGCGGCCAGGTCGAGCAGGCGGGTTGCTGAAGCGGGCGTCCTGCATGAATCGCGAGGAAGTTTTGAGCGATAGCGCGATTTCCAAATAAATCGAAAAGGAAATCCACGGCGAGAGCGTGATTCTTGAGTGTCGAGGGCGCGGCGTCTGAATAAATTGCGAGGGAGTCCCACGCGAGAGCGCGATTCCTGCATAAATTATGAAGCAGTCCCGCGCGATTGCGCGATTTCTCCATAGACTGTGAAATTGTATCAGGCAGGAGCCGTTGTTGGCGGGTCGAGACAGCGGGCCCGGGCGGCCAGGTCGATCAGGCGGGTTGCTGAAGCGTGCGCCCTTCATGAATCAATCGGAAATCTCGAGCGACAGCGCGATTCCCAAATGACTCGTGAGGAAACCCACGGCGAGAGCATGATTCCTGAATGTCGGGGGCGCGGCGTCTGAATAAATTGCGAAGCGGTCCCACGCGAGAGCGCGAATCCTGCATACCTTGTAAGAAATTCCAGCGCGAGAGCGCGATTCGGGAATAAAGTGTGAAGCAATATCAGGCAGGAACCGTTGTTGTTGTTGTTGTTGTTGTTGGTGTTGTTGTTGAACATTATTTATTCTAAAGAATAATTATTGTTGGGCCCCCTGGTGCGCGCCCCCCCTGCGCCGCCTAGGCCGCAGCTACATTTTCATCATTTTCGTGAGGAAGCCTCAGAAAAGAGGGTGTGTACAGGATCCGGTTGTTTTGTTGTAATCCGCTTTCCCTTGCAAAAAACAATAGAAAATGACATTTCTTGTTCTAATATAATCAAATTTCAAGAATCCCTTGCAAAAAATAAGGTAAAGTGGACATTCGCGCGCGCAAGACGAAATCCTTCCAAAACCTTAGTGTTCGCAGCGATTTTAACATAAAAACATCAAAAAACCAATGGTTTTTCAACAAAAAATTGTCAAAATCTCATCCCGCGCGCTCTTGCGGATTCGTAGGAAACCCAACACTTTTTAAACATTTCTGTCAAACGGGCTTTTGCGAGCAACTTTTTCGAACTTCTGCGACAACGGTTGCGCACCTGCCAGGGCCATCATCCCTGTCAAATAATACCATGCGGGACACATTCGTTTTTTCTTCGCGCGCGCACGCCGTCGTCGTCGGCCGCGGGGCCCTGAATAGTAGCCACGGTCGTCCGCATGCCACGAAGTGAAGTGTCCGAACGTCATAGGGCGGGAAGCTGGGTGTGGGTGGTGGCGAAGAGTCGTTTGGAAATTTGGTAGAGCTTGAACCGGCCCCCCCACAAAGTGGGGGGATTGCCCGCCTCCTATGAAAACCCTGGCACTGGTGAGAACGGAGTGTCCCCACGTGCTAGTAATTGTTGTTGTTGTTGTTGTTGTAAACCGGGGGGCATCAACACAGTTTGGTGACACCTTGCTTGCGGTTGCAAAAAACATGGTGCGAACCCCAGGAGAGGCACTGTAATTCAAAAGTGCAAGGATTACCAAAGAGGGGGGATCAACACGACTTGTGTTTTACACATGAGAACTCATCAGCAACAACAACATCAGCAACAACAGCAGCACCAACACAACACAATCACCACCACCCCTAACAACAACCAAACAACACCAATAACAACACCATCAACAACAACATCAACAACAACAGCAGCAACAAAACCAACAAAAACAACACGAACAAAAACAATAACAATAACAGTAACCAGCACAACAACACCAATACCTACAATTGATTTGAGACTGTTCGCGCTTATCTGCTCGACTGCCAGTGAACACGTATATCTCAATCCTTCGATACCCGCCCTCTTCGTCTTCGATTGTATATCCTTGGGGTATATATGTCTTACCTGCAGCGTATATTTCGTGCGGACCCTAAGGCAAGGGAAGAGAGGATGAATGGAAGGAAAGGGCAAGGGGAAGGGAGGGGGATGGATCACGAGAGAAAATAACAAGACCGGGGCTATAAGCAGAAAGCACGTGGCAAAACCAGACGGGCAGACCGGGCGGGTAGACCCTAACAGGCGGGTCGGGAAGGCGGGCCCAGGCGGCCAGGTCGATCAGGCGGGTTGCGGAAGCGTGCGTCCTGCATGAATCGAGAAGAAGTCTCGAACGAACTGCGAGAGCGTGACTCCTGAGTGTCGAAGGCGCGGCGTCTGAACAAATTGGGAGGAAGTCCCACGCGAGAACCCGATTCCTGCATGATTTGTGAAGAACCCCCGCGCGACAACGCGATTAGGGAATCAATTGTGGGGAAGTATGAGGCGGGAGCCGTTGAATTTTCATTTATGAAGATTAATTATTGTTGATCCCCCCCGTCCGGTGCACTTTGTCTTTTTCGATTGAAGTGCCCTTCTTTCCCGGGGCTTGCACCCTGTTTCTTAATAGGGAAAATCTTGAAGATCAAACTGTGTGGTTGGCCCGGTTTATAGCAACAGCGGTTCCCGCTTGATACTTCCTCACAATGTATTGAAGAATCGCGCTCTCGCTTGGGACCTCCTTGCAATTTACCACCGGATCGCGGCTCCCGTTTGCCGTTTGATACTTCCTTGCAACTTATTGAAGAATCGCGCTCTCACTTGGGGCTTCCGCGATCCTCTCGACACGGTTGCAGTTCTCCCCACTCTCCCAACATCCCGCTTTTTTTTTCAGGGTTGCACGAAGTTTGTTTCTGACACCAGTTCGCAGCTGTACGTCCCCCCGTGGGGGTATCCACGATATGTTCTTTCAAGTGGGTGGTACGTGGCGCTGTTTATGGCGCGACCCATGGCGAAACTTATTGTTCACCTGTGTTGGAGTGGCTGGCGCAAGCCATGGCGCAAGCTGAATCGCCACTCACAGCGCAAATCATCGTCCTCCCTCCTTCTTGCCCCGCCCCTCCCTTCCTCCGATCCCTTCGTCCTCACTATCCGCCGTTATCTGTTACCCTTCGTTTTCAAGGGCTTCACCAACCACACGTGGCAGGGAATGAACATACCCCCCAAAAAGGGGTACGATCGAAGACGAAGAGGGCGGGTATCCAAGTTTTGGGATATGCATATTGAATGACACGCGAGCCGATGAGAGCGAACACTCTTAAAATGATTGATGTTGTTGTTGTTGTTGCTGTTGTTCTTGTTGGATACTCACTTCCCAGAAATAATCCATGTTGATATCCAGAAACGGTTCCGCGCCTTCTCGCCTCGACGCCAGCTAAATTTTCTTTGGAAGCGAGGCTCCCGCGCGAGCGTTGGCTTGAGTCTAAATGGGGCACTTGGAGGCCCAGCTACGACGACAACGGCTCCCGCTCGATACTTCCTCACAATTGACCCCGAGACACCCTGGCCACAGAGGCCCCCAAACTCCGGAACGGCGCTCTCGCTCGAGACTTCCTCGCAATTCAGCCAAGTTGGCGGAGGCCCAGCCACGACGACAAGGGCTCCTGCTCGATGCTTCCTCACGATTTGCTCGGAGAGCCCCTGGCTAGGAAGGCCCCCGATCTCAGGAACGGCGCTCTCGCTCGAGATTTCCTTGCAATTCAGGCACACTGTCGGAAGCCCAAACACGGCGATAAGGGCTCCCGTTCGATATTTCTCCATAAGTATTCAAAGAGCCCCTGGCCAGAGAGGCCCCCGAACTCAGCAACGGCGCTCTCGCTCGAGACTCCCTCGCACTTCAGTCAATGGACGACGAGGAAGATATTCCCCCCGAAAAAGGGCGCAATCGAAGACGAAGTGGGCGGGCAT